TGGAGATAAAGATTGACAATCATCTCACCTAGCTAAAAGGGAAATGTCACAATAGTTGCAACACACTATAATGGGAAAATATTTTATGTCAAAAGTTGTACTATAACCCTTATTATAATCTCATAGCCCACTAAATTATCCTCTTAACAATCTCTCTCCTCCTTTTTAAGTGTTCTAAATCACATGTGACTCACTTTTCTTAAATACCGTGAAAAAGGGGAGAAAGTAGGTAATTACATACTTTGTTGCAAAATGATTTAATTAAATTCATATGATCATATGACGAGAGCTGATATACATACAACCATTGTAGGTTGTCCCTACATACAACACCATTAAAATTTTGACACATCATTAGAAAAAGGGAGAAAATTAGAAGTCAAATATATATTGAATATAATGGAACTTGGGTCCATTGTTCTAGCCAATCAAAACATGACAAATTAGAGTTGTATGTAGGGACCACATACAACAATTGTATGTGTAGCCTTTACCTCATATGACTTGGTTATCACTTACACAAGCTTAAGAGCCCCTTGGAGAAAGGGTTCATTTAAGAGCTACATAAGTTGTAATCCTATAATTTATCAATAAGATACTTGTACTTTAAAGTATTAGCGATTCTTAAACCAAAAAGTACACAGGGTCAAGATTTTAACCTTTAACCTTTACTCAAAAATATACTCGTATTGCAAAGTACTTAAACCATTGTGACACAAGTTCCAGCAGGCTTACAACAATTGTTCTTGTGGGTTGTTATTCATAACATTATGATTAGTTCCATTTGTTGACTATTGCCAATAGGTAAGATTTAATCAAGATTAGAATTATTTAATAGCGACTGGCGACACCGTGGGCCAGCTGACACACACCAAGTAACCCCTAATCGACTGGGGCGTAACACTTGATTGACCGAATAACTCCTAACTGACCAAATTACCCTTGACCGAGTAACTCCGGACCGAGTGAGTAACCCTCGACCGAGTAACCACTGATCAACCAAGTAATCCCTAACCGACTTAGTAACTCCACACCGAGTGAGTAACCCCTATAACACTAACAAAGTAACCCCAACCCCATAATTATTGGCCACACGATGTGACCAACTACATATAAAAGTTTGTATTACTAGCAATGCGTGTATATAAAAATACTATGTGAGATCATTTTTAATTTCTATATGACTTTTTATGATAAATATTTTTAGATATTATGATTAATTGTAGGCATTGGTGCCATGGAAAAAAAAAACAAAAAAGGATATAACATAATTAAAACTTGTGGGAGTGTGTTTATTGAAATTGGAAATATAAATATATAATTCATCTATATTGACAAGATAATTTATCATATACGATATAATTAATTATAGCGTGTTTTGAGTGCGTTCATCACACCACATGATCGCTTGTAAATGAACAAAGTAACTCTTAGGCCCTGTTCACATTTATTTAATTTCAGTTCAGTTCAGTTCAGCTCTGCTCCAATCAGTTCAGTTCAGTTCAGCTCCAATCTGTTAAATTCAGCTCATAATTCCCTCTCTCATAAAAATATTCATTTCAGCTTAGTACAGTTAAGTTCAGTTCAGCTCCAATCAGTTCAGTTCAGCTCAGTTCAGTAAATGTGAACATGTCCTTATAACATTGATCAACTAACACATACGACTGAGTAACCCTTATAACGTTATTAAGTAACCCTTATAACTAACACCGACGAAGTAACCTCTGTAACAATGATCGAATAATCCCTATAACACTAATGAAGTAACCACATGATGGTAGGCCATACGGTGCCACATATAAAATTTTGTGAATTACTTATGTCCCCCACTCTTTTTATTAATCAATATATATATTATTTGTTTATAAATGTTCTTTTTTTTTATTTGACAAAGGTTTTCCCTTTATTTTGTCATAATCGTAATACTTTGACTTTTTCACTATTTATATGTTTATTTTGACGATAATTTTTTACCATTATATGTATACTAAACATATATGGCCATGTAAAATATTTTTGGATTAGTGTATTTAAGTATATTTTCATTGTATTAAGGGCCTTTTCTCTTACGTTGAAATTCAGTTCAATTCAGTTCAGTTCAGCTCAGTTCAGTTTAGCTCAATTCAGTTCAGTTCAGTTCATTTCAGCTCAGTTCAGCTCAGCTCCTAATTTCCTTCTCTTATAAAATATTCAGTTCAGTTCAGTTCAGTTCAGTTCAGCTGAGTTCAGTCAATGAGAACAGGCCCTAACCTTTTATACAATCTAATGAAAATATACTACATCCGTTAAGTATTAGTTGCAAATTTGGGGTAATATTTGAGATATATAGTTGCAACTAATATTTAATAGAGGTAGTAATTACAAATTAAATATTAATGGTCAAAATTGTGCATTGATATGTGTGCCAGTCAAGCAAAGATCTGGCTTGGGATATATGTCCATTTTATATAGTGATTTATCTCGTCCCTTGGTCATATTTAGGAGTATTTTTGGCTCTACGGATCTATTTTTATTACCAATATGCATTTTCTAGTGTTTTCGTAGATTTTGGTATTGCTTTGTAGGAAATTGCAGATTTGGAGTATTTCCCCGGAGTTAGTTGAGCCACTATGAGCATTGAATTTGGATCGCATTGATATGACCATATTGCATAGCCCAAGATCGTGTCAGAGTAATTAAGAACTGTAATTAAGGGCTTGCGAAGAAGAAGAAGCTGAGGCATTGGACTTGCTTCATAGAAGAAAATATTTGGATTGGGCCGAGTAAAGGATCCCAAACGAGGAATCCAATGTTACCTGATGGACTTGCCCGATCGACAAGTGTTCTCGCCTTGAGGCGCGCCCGACCGCGCGAGGAAGAGAAAGAGCAGCAACATCTCTTCTGAAGGCGTGTCCTACCGGGCGAAAGAGATTGAAGGAGCACCATGAGGCTTATCGGCCTGGTCGACCAGTCATGCTTCCTACCGGGCGCGTGTTTTTGAGGGCGTTTAGAGATGACTAATCATAGTCTTAGTTTAGGTTTCTTAGCTTTAATATAAATACGCTTTTGTCAAGCGAAACTATTACATCTTCCATTAGTTAAAAATTCCAAATTTTAGTTTTAAGCTTACATTAGTATTTTGTTCTCTCAACACTCTTTGGTTTATGCAATTTATTAATTCCATTTATTTTGGTAACGATTTTCTTCTTTTTATTTCTCGTAATTTAAATACTTTGATTAGTTATGTCTTGTTTAATTGTTTTCTTAGGTTAGATTTCAATATGTGTGAGTAGTTTATTTCTACGGTTAGGGGGTGATTTATTATTGATGATTGTTAATGCTTTAGTTAATTTCCTATTGATTGATTTAATGCTATTCAATTAGATTAGGCATGGTTTCACTGTTTAAGTTATGCAATATTGATTTGAGATTCGGCAAATGAGAATTGATGTTTAGGCTTAGTTTCAATAGGCAGATTAATTTATAAATGGTTAAGTCAAGATTTGAGAGATGCGATTTAATACCGCTAGATTTACTCTGTGATTGTAATACGTAGCAAAGTCTTTTATGATCTTATTAATTGATGCATTGATTTTTATGCTTTACATACCCCTGAGTATTATTGGTGAACCTATACCCTAGGCTTTGATTTATTGTTATTCCTATTATTCTTATTCACGTTAGTTTATTTATTTCCCTTAGTTTAATTCTCATAAAATTATATTTGTTACTTGATAATTTAGACCATATCAATTCTTTAGGAGTAGAAATACATTGCTTTCACGTGGATTCGACCCTACTTCCCTATCTATTTTAGGTAGAGGACTTAAGAATTACTTTTGATTTGGTGATATGACTAGAACCGTCAAAATTTATAATAATACAGAGGGAGTAATATTAAAACAAATGAAACGCATTGCAACCTATTGCAAATCAAACTACTCACAAGTTGCAGGCTCCAAAGCACTTTTTCGTGTCAGATCGGATCAGGTTTGTCGCATAAGTTTTTGATTTTTGACACCTCTAAGGACGTAAGATTGCAAATCCAGATGGGTGTGCAATGACTTTATAATATGGATTAATTTAATTACTCTATTAGCAAGGGTTTTGCTTAGGCAATTTAAGAGCATGTTATGTTCACATTTACTCAAGTGAGCTGAACTGAATTGAACTGAACAAAACTGAATAGAGTTGAAATGAATATTTTATGAGAGAAGGAAATTAGGAGCTGAACTAAAATAAACTGAACCGAACCGAATTGATTGGATCTGAACTTAACTGAACTGAATTGAAATTAAGTTGAAATGAACAGACCCTGAGTCTTTAATTAGGCTAACTAATCCTAAGGTCCAACTAAGTTGGTTTGTCCTAAAAGGCTTAGGCTGGGTTAATTGGGTTCCTAAAGGGATTTTCAATCAATTTTTGGGTTTTTTTTTTTTTTTTTTTTTTTTTTTTTTATCTTTGGGTATGTAATAAGCTGATGATTAGAGATCTCATGATTGGTGATTTTATACTCTATCATGCTCCGTCACATAAGATCATTTGGACTTGAAATGTTGATGCAATGAACACAGGGCTCCTTATACCTAGGATCAGATTCTTGATTCCATATAAAAGGAACAACTCAGCCAAAAACATAATCTGATGGTTAAATCCCCAATCTCCATGATTGATTTTATTACTCTATCGATTCCTTTGGGTAAGATTGGCTTGAAGAAAATACATACGATCTATGAGCAAGAGTGATTATTACTCAATCATTTACTATACATACATCGTACCCAAGAGTATGAAGTGAATATTTTTGTTTAAGTTTGAAGAAGGGAATGAAAGAGTAATAATTATAGAAATGATATTCTGAAATGGACTGGCAGGGTGTACGTGTTCTGGGGCTAGATTTGAAATGTCTACCCCCATTTAATTTGCAACTAATCCTAATTACTCCCTTACATGCGGTGTCTTCCATTTTATACTCCAATATTGGTTACTAGTAAGTCTAGTGTGTATATATATATATGAAACTCAAAGCATATAATATATTCATCAACTCTACTTTCGCTTTGCCATAATTAGCAAGCTAGAAGCAAGTTAATTATGGCTTCCAAATTGATATGTTTTTTGGTAATCTTTTCTCTAACATCACTTTTTATGGGTGCTTCTAATGCTTGGCTTATGCAGCCAGACTTTTATGCCTCTAGTTGCCCTAATGTTGAACAAATTGTGTACAATACTATGAAGCAAGCCGTTAGTAAGGAACCACGTATGGGTGCATCTATTCTTCGCTTGTTCTTCCATGATTGCTTTGTCAACGTAAGTATTTTCGAATCTATAACCTTATTATTTATTTAAGTTTTTTTTTTTATTTATTTTTTTTATTTTTTTTATTGCAATACCATGTTCTATGTACATTATTAAACAATATACTACGACGTATGAAAAATTATTATGCAAAGATGGGAGAATTTCGTTATTTCCTTGTAATGTCATTATTGATTGTAATATTGTTGCATTTTTCTAGAAAGAAAATGGTTGGGAGGATGATGATTAGTTTGGACAATTATGGGTCCCTAGACAATTATATAGAAGGTTTAGAGAAAATGATGGATGTTATCTACATAAAAAAAAACTGAGTGAGAAAATGAAGAATTAAAAAATATATATACTTCGTATATAATACTAACGTTACATGATCTATTGTCAAGGAAAAAAAAAATGCTTTACCTAGGGTTAGACCCCGGTTGCATAGTGAGGTTTGATCGCATTCATTAATATCATGAGAGACAACCCTAACCAATGGATAATATACAACTTTGATAGAAGCATATATATATATATATATAATATATAAAAATATATATATATATATATATATATATATATATATATATATTAATAAATGATCTAATTTATTTTTAATATTGGCACAATGGTTAATTAAAATGATCCATACTTTTTAGGAAAAATCACATCTTTTTTGTCACACCCCTAAATAATAATAGATTAATAGAAGTACATACATAAAAGTCTTTGACCTAATTTTATCTCATAATGAATATAAAGGTTCATCCAAATAAATCATGTGATTAATTTAGTTATTAGAAATTATAAAAGAAATGTACGCTGAGTAGTAATTGTGAACAAAGAAAGTATATATGGCCGTTTTATATTTACGCTAAAGGATCAATTAAAATAGACTGGAATCAATATATACACTATATTGTTCATCTATTAGACTAACTCATTCATGTTTTTTTCATTCATTTCCGGTAACATTAGGGTTGTGATGCATCTGTACTCCTAGATGATACACCAACATTTACAGGGGAGAAAACTGCTAAAGCAAATGCAAACAACTCAATAAGGGGTTTTGAAGTGATTGATGCAATCAAGTGTAATCTTGAAGCTGCTTGCCCCCAAACTGTATCGTGTGCAGACATTCTAGCTCTTGCATCACGAGACGGAGTTAGATTGGTAAGCACATAAAACTCATAAAAATACTTTGGATTATAGATTTCATTGTGCACATAAATCTAAAGATTAATTAGTTTGTATTACTACTCCCTATCACTTGAGCTTCATTCATTGTTTAAGAACAAAAAGAAAAACATTACAAAATAAGCCATATTGCTTACTTCCTCCCTATTTTCCAAGCATAGGAAAATTGAAAAATACATGCAATGTTTTAGCTAGCATCTGTAACAAAAATGTGAATAAATCTATAATCTATAATAATATATACAGTCTGGTATATAATAATATATATACTTTCTCCGTTTCTTTATAGTTGCAACATACACTTTATTGATATGGTATTTAAGACAAATAGATCTCACATGATATAATACACTTAAAAAGGGGTTAAGAGGTTGTTAGAGGTATAATCAAGTGGCCATGAGCTTTAAATAAAGATAATAGTACAATTTTCACCATAAAAATCTTCCATTTATGTGTGTTGCAACTATTATAATATTTTCATTATAGGAAAGTGTTGCAATTATAAAGAAACAAAGGAAATAATCCGTATTAAAAAGCGTTTCAAATTGCATTAATCTTGTCACGTCGCTCATTCCATCATCTTTAATTCATCTAAGTGTTAACGTTTATGTCATCCCTTATAAACATGCATGGTTGGTATACAATATGAACCCATTGCAACCACAAGTTTGATAATAATCCCATTTGCTTATCTAAGTTGAAGTACATTGCATTGTATTATTTCAGAACCATATTAATGACAATTGAAAATGAAAAATGAAGTTGAATACAATAACTCAAGACGTACATTGTCTATTTATCCCACCAAAACTAGTTATTCAATTTAAACACCTCAATTTGTTCTTATCAAAATTTATTATTTTAAGATCCTACCACTTGATGTACCTAACTATATGTTCTCACATTTGTAGTTAGGAGGGCCCACATGGAAAGTACCACTAGGTAGAAGAGATGCAAGAACAGCAAGCCTAAGCTTGGCAAACCAAAACCTTCCACCCCCACGTTCAAGCCTTGCTAACCTCACTTCCCTCTTTGCAAGACAAAACTTAAACATCAACGAAATGACCGCCCTCTCCGGCGGCCACACCATCGGCCTCGCTCGTTGCATCAACTTCCGACCCCACATTTACAACGACACCGACATAGATCCCACCTTTGCAGCCACTCGCCAAGCCAACTGCCCTAAACAAGCTGGGAATGGAGACTTCAACTTAGCCCCTCTTGATCGTCAAACACCAAACAAATTCGACAACGATTATTTTCAAAACCTTGTTCAAAAACGCGGTCTATTACATTCGGATCAAGAGCTTTACAATGGTGGTTCTCAAGATTCCTTGGTGAAGAAGTATAGTACTAATCAAGCTGTTTTCTTTCAAGATTTTGTTGCAGCGATGATCAAGATGGGGAACATTAAGCTTCTTACTGGTACTAAAGGAGAGATTAGAAAGAACTGTCGCGTTATCAATTAGATTATTGTTAATATCATCAGTTTATTTCATAATTCTGGTTTTAATTACACTTGTACGTACTATATATAAATGGAAATTTTGTGAAAAACTACCTATTATAGTTCAGAATTTGCGAGAAACTACCTATTAAAAAAATGTTGTAATTGACTACCTAATTTTCGAAAAATGTTGTAATTTACTACCTTACGCCGGATTATGAATGAGTTTGACCAAAGTTCTCCGATGTTGACTTGGTCACGTGACCATCACGTGACACTTAATGACCCTTTTCTTTCACCAAGTGTCACGTGACCAAGTCAATGCCGGAGAATTTTGGTCAAACTCATTCATAATCCGGCATAAAGGTAGTAAATTACAACATTTTAAAAAAATTAGGTAGTCAATTACAACATTCTTTTTAATAGGTAGTTTCTCGTAAATTCTAGATTATAATAGGCAGTTTTTCACAAAATTTCCTATATAAATATATGATTTGTATTAATTGTTGTTAGTGTTGTTACGTGGAAGTTGGAATTATATCCGAGTGATTTATGGATGTGAAAATTGAAAAGGACAGTGTAATTATGTACTCCATTTCTTACTCCGTATTATAAAATAAACTTGCATGCGAATGGAGTCGTATAATATTGGGATTTTTTTACATCATAAGATGATGATGTGTCAGATTATAAATGGTCAATTATTTTTATTTATTTAAAAGCCTAAATGTATTATACATGTAATTTTTTTTAACAATACGTAATTATAGTTTTTTAAATTTAATTTTTATCTTTTTAAGATCATTTTCGAAAAATTAAATTAAAATTAAAATTTAGAAAATAAAAAATTCATCATTTTTCAATAATGTTCTTCATTCATGTTCAACAATGTTCTTCATTCATGTCATAGATTAACAACCTATTCCCAAAATCATTGTTATTTGTGAAAGTATACTCAAATCCGGCCTAAAATCCTCATTAAAACTCATAAATGAATTGTTTTGTAGAGTTTCGCTTTTTTTAGTTTTGTTTTTTAGGTTCTGTTCATTAAAAAATCTCAACAACAATCTCATTTTTAAGTATTTGTTAAAGAAGAATTATATTGATAGGTGTTTTGCAATATCATAGTGGTCGGCGACATAGTGATTTAGGTTGAATGATTGGCGTTCTTCCAATTGTATAAATTGAGAAGACGACTATTTTTTTTTTTTCGAGTCCCATCAGTTTGATCGGCACAAATTAATTAATTTTTCGCAAACTTGTTCGTGGATTAGGTAGTGACCTAAACTACTTTTGGTCATTGCATATAAGAATTATATGCTCTGTTTATATTTAAGGCATTTACCTATGTATACGTTGGGCGTGACCTCATAATTATATACTAAACCATAGCATTGATGGCTACAAATCTACAACAAGGGGTGAAAGGTATAAACTAGGAAAGAATATCTACAGTCAACTAATTTACAATTATTCAAGTCATAGGCTATAAACTAGGAAGGAAAATAATACACCTAACTAATTCACATTTACAAAGATATATACAATATATGTTTAGCATACAATATATTTAACACTTTCAAACATATATCATAATGGTTTATTGACGAAAGGTATATCAATTATTATAATTACCAAAATTTATCCTATTATTAAATATTAGTTATAATCTTATAATTTATTTTATAATAACCAAAATTATCCCTGTTTTATATATTAGTTGTTTTCCATTCAAAAAAAAAATATGTTAGTTATTATCCTATAATTAGTTTAATATTGTAATTAACAGAATTTATCCTATTTTAAATTATGTTTCATATTTTTGAGAATGAATAAAAATTGAATGTTTAAATCATGATGAATTTTATATTGTGATATAATTGAGTCGATAAAAATGATGATGATGATGATGATATAATAATGATGATGATGATGATGATGATGATGATGATGATGTTTAATTCTAGGACGGGTTGTGGCTTTTGCGGCTCATCGAAAGCGGCTACTGCTGCTACTACTGCTGCTGCTGCTGCTACTGCTGCTGCTGCTGCTACTGCTGCTACTACTACTGCTGCTGCTACTGCTGCTGCTGCTGCTTGCTGCTACTACTACTGCTGCTGCTGCTGCGGCTGCGGCGGCTGCTGGCTGCTGCTGCTGCGGCGGCTGCTGGCTGCTGCTACTGCTGCTGCTGCTGCTACTACTGCTACTGCTGCTGTTGCTGCTGCTGCTGCTGCGGTTGCGGCTGCGGCTACTGCGGCTGCTGCTGCTGCTACTACTACTACTACTACTACTACTACTACTGCTACTGCTACTACTACTGCTACTGCTACTGCTACTGCTACTGCTACTGCTACTGCTACTGCTACTGCTACTGCTGCTGCTACTGCTGCTGCTGCTGCTGCTGCTGCTGCTGCTCTGCTACTGCTACTTCTACTGCTACTGCTACTGCTACTGCTACTCCTACTGCTACTGCTACTCCTACTGCTGCTGCTACTGCTGCTGCTACTGCTGCTGCTGCTACTACTGCTGCTACTACTACTGCTGCTGCTACTACTGCTACTACATCCAAGAATCCGTTAGTGGGGCTCACTTTTGACACATGTCACTCATTTATTGGATTAAAAAAATTTATTATTTTTTTTTAAAAAAAGAAAAATCCTAAAATGCTAAACCAGCCACCACCGCCGATGGGTTCCCACCACCGTCACCCAAACCTAACCCCCGAAGCTCCGAGACCGTCGCTGAACCACCGTCGTCACCATACCCCGCCCCAAAACCTCCGATACTGTCACCACACCATCGAAACCCCAACCTAAACTAGCCGAAACCCCAACCCACATCGTCGCCGAACCACCGTCAGCCGAAACCTAACCCTACCCAGCCAAAACCTCCCAGCCACTTCGATTCCTCCTCGAAAAACCACCCCTGTACTTCCGCTTCACCTTCAAACCAGTCGAAAACCACTTTCGAAGCCCTAGCTAGGTCGATTTTGCGGTGAGGCGACGACATGGGTGGTTTTCGGTGGTTCGTGGTAAGGGTTTGCACGAACTGATTGGTGGGATTTGCGCAGGGGGAGGGGGGCCGTGGTGGGTGGGGATGATGGGCGGTGATTTTGCCGGTGAAGGAAGGGTTGTCGGCGTCAGTATGAGTCTCCGACTGTGGAGTCGCGGCCGCCGGTGGTGGGCTAGTGGCTGGGTTAGGGTTATAGAGTGTTTTTCTTTTTTTTTTTTTTTTTTTTTACCTTTATTTTTTAAACCAATGTCTTATTGCCACGTGTCTATCTTGGGTCCCACTAACGAATTTCATCCAAAATTCAGTTAGAAGGTGGTGAAATCCAATTTTTGGATTTTTTTGTGGTGTTATTTTCAAAAAAATCCCAATAAATAATAATGTCACTATTCTAACTAAATAGGAGAAACAAATTAATACTAGACAATAGACATGACCTAATATAATAAAATTTATGTAATTTCCTTACTTTATATAAGGTGGTTGAATATTTGTTTTAAAAATGAAAAGAAAATTATGTAGCTTACTTACATTATATAACACGCTTCCATATTTATATATTTGTACTCCAGGTAATTAATGACCTAAACATTTCTAAGTCATAACATTTTTATTTAATGTTATTTAATTAGTGTATCCTCTTTCTTAAAGTATCAATTGAAAGTCTAATAGATTTAAGTTTATCACTTTATAAATGAAAATGTTATCATCCTTAATTCATTGTTGTAACACTATCCTAAAATAGAAATATCACAATAGTAATAACACACTATAAAAAGGAATGTTTGGGGGATTTTTCTATGTGACTGGCTTCAACGTGTGGCTGGGGTTACTCGGTCAGGGGTGACTCGAGTTAGTCCTAACCGAGTAACCCCTCAAGTAACCTCTAATTGAATATTCCCACGAGTAACCCCTGATCGAGTAACCCCTCAGGTAACCCATGACCGAGTAACCCCTCGAGTAACCCCCTAAACGAGTAACCCCTGACCATCCCTTCAAGTAACCCTTGATTGAGTAACCCCTAATCGAACCCCTCAAGTAACTTCTGACTGAGTAACCCCTGATCGAACCCCTCAAGTAACTTCTGACCGAGTAACTCGAGTAACCCCTAACCGAGTCACTTGAGTAACACCGGCCACATGGTGTGGCCAACCATATATAAAAATTTGTGTTCAAATTAAAGAATGTACACTGTTTAGGGTAAAAATTACCCCAAATACGTGGTCCAATCCTATGGTGACACGTGGCCCAATAAAGAGGTGACACGTGTCACTATAGGAAGATTATGACACGTATGAAGAGCATGAGAGCACCTAAAAAATAAAGAGAGTAAAGGCCTCCTTACATCATAAGGCCCAACTACCCTTGAAAGCCGCAAAACGGGGCCCTAGAGGGACACGTGCCCTACACTAATTGCGCAGCGAATCAGAGCACATATCTCTAGGTCACTTATTCTAAGGGGCACAAATTCCTACCCCTATAAATACCCTAATCATTGATGATGGGAGGGGTGGATTGTGACATAACAATAAATAGAGCACTAAATTGCCCAACTTCTCTCTACTTTCTCACTCTAGTACTCTTTCCTTTTCAAAGTTTAAAGTTAAAATTTAAAAATTCCTCTGTCTCTCTCGGTTTCTCTAGTTACCTTCAAGATGTCTCATTATCTTCATCCTAATACCTTTGTATACCCTCACTATATGGGGAAAAACTTTCAACCTCTCCCAGTCCTAGAAGATGAAGCACCTATTAATTGGGAAAGTTGTGTTATTGGACGTGTGTGGGATGATAGGGACTTTTCTTTATCTCTTTATCAGCGGCTACTAGCCCAATTTTGGCATCTTTGTGCCCCAGTGACGGTTTTCAACTATGGTAAAGATCTAATATTTAGTTGTGAAACTTCTGAGGATGGCGATGAATTAGATGAGAGAGGGTGGGTCCATTTTAAAGGAAGTTTGGTCGTGTTACAGCGCCTTCGGGAACATGCAGTACCAATGAATCTTAATCTTCATCTTGCTGAGTTGTGGGTGGGCGTGGTGGTCTACCTTTACGATATTCTACTCCTTAAGTTGCGGCGGTTGTATTAGCTCATGTGGGTGAT